GTGGACACGGCGGTGCGTTTGTGGACACGGCGGTGCGTTTGTGGACACGGCGGTGCGTTTGTGGACACGGCGGTGCATTTGTGGACACCGCGGTGCGTTTGTGGACACGGCGGTGCGTTTGTGGACACCGCGGTGCGTTCAAGGACGTGTGTGTGTGGGCGGCGTGGGGTCAAACCTGCGGTGCGCCTCAGAAACTAGGCTCTGCCTGCGGCTGTCGCTGGCCTCCTGCAGGAGGCTCATGGCGTAGCCGTCTGATAGCATCTTCTGCATGGCGGCTGCAAACACAACCGGACTCAGAGGGAACCAGAACCAGAACCAGAACCAGGTGATTAAACATCACAAGGCGATGCAGAGAAACGCTCTGAGCTGTTAGCGCTCAGGACTAGCACTGCTAGCTGACCCTGAACCACTGATCATAGATGTTAGCTCTGCTAATGCTAAAGCCATATGCTAACACAGCATTTAGCTAAGCCCAGTACCTGCCACCTCCCTCCTCCTCAGGGAGCCGGCCTCCTCCTGGGTGACGGCCGTCAGCTGCTCCATGCGGATCCTGATCGATCAGACAAGGTTTATATATTTCAGTTTTTCTGCCTCCAAGTTTTTCAGCTAAATAATCGGATCAGAACTCACCGGTCCTCCTCCATGGCCTGGAGGAACTCCGCGCTCTTCTTCTGCCTGCAGACACATCTACATGATCATCAACGTCTAGCGGTTAGCTGCTAGCGGTTAGCTGCTAGCGGTTAGCTGCTAGCGGCTCCTACCTGCTGTTGTCCATCAGCAGGCTGCTGATGCGGCTGCTGATGTTGTCCTCGGCCTGCCGGACCCGCTCCAGAACCAGCTGCCTCTCGGCCTCCTGAGCTCTCTGCTGCTGGCTGAAGCCGAGCTCCACGCGCTGCTGGTCCTGATCGGGATCAGGAACCAGATCAGGAACCGGGCCAGGATCAGGAACAGGAACCGGACCAGGATCAGGAACAGGAACCGGATCAGGAACCGGACCAGGATCAGGAACAGGAACCGGATCAGGAACCGGACCAGGATCAGGAACCGGACCAGGACCAGGATCAGGAACCAGATCAGGAACCGGACCAGGACCAGGATCAGGAACCGGACCAGGACCAGGATCAGGAACCGGACCAGGATAAGGAACCAGACCAGGATCAGGAACCGGACCCAGATCGGGATCAGGATGAATGGATGGACATGATTCAGAACCGAACCTCTCAGTGTTTGGGTTTCTGGTTCTGGTTCAGACCAGCTACTCCAAATGATCCAAACTTTATGAATATGATCTGTTGATCTGCTTCTTCCATTTTCCTACAAAACTTTTTCCTTCCACCAAACTTTCCATAATCTGACCTTTTGCTCCTATTATTATTTTTCTGCAGTTAAAAAATCTTTTTTATAGATTTTTGTGATATTTAACTTTTCTGAGAAGCTTTTTGCTTTTGTTTTCTTTCTGAGCTGAAAGATGAAATCAATGATTTTTAATGATTCGTAATCAATGAATCAGTTTAACTCTAAAGAACTTTAAACATTCTTCCCAGAATAAATCAGCTTCAGATGAAGAACTGAAGCTGAACAGATTAATGTCGCCTTGATGGAGACATTTATGAAAGAGTCTGGATTTCTCTCCAACTCCAGCATCAGAACCAGAACCAGTCGTCGTCTCTCACCTGTCGGACCGAGTTCAGGATGTTCTCCTTGTGTGAATGGTTCATGAGGAGAAGCTGGGTGTGCTCCCTGTGTTTCTCCTCCAGGTGGCGCTCAAACGCCAGCTTCTCCTGCAGCTTTTGCTCCTGAAGGAAACAAAACTCAGACGTTAGCCTGAAGCCGCGCCGCCGCCGCGCTGAGGGTGATGACATCACCAACCTTCCTCCTCTCATAGTCGCTGAATTTGCTCTGCAACAGAAACAGACGGCGGTTAGCGGAGCAGAGGAACCCGAGCCGGTTCAGGCTGAGACACCGACCTGCCAGGCCTCCTCCAGCCCGTCCAGACAGTCAGAACCGGGTTTACTGCAGTCGCTCTCCAGAACCGGCAGCAGGTACTGAGACGGAGCGCAGTACTCCTGACCCAGCTCTGAGGAAAACACAAAACATCCATGTTCAGCTTCACAGCAGTGGGATGACGCCTGCATTCGGGTTTCTGGATCTTCATTTAGCATGTAGCATCAGCATGTAGCATTAGCATGTAGCATCAGCATGTAGCATCAGCATGTAGCATCCCGTTAGCCGCTCTGAGTCTGGTCCTACCGTCACAGAGGAAGCGCTGGATGCTCTCCGTTCCCTCTGAGCAGACGGACGCAGGTGGGTAGGTCATGCTAGTAGCATCCAGAGTGAAGCTCTGCACACACACACACACACACACACACACACACACACATTTAATAAGAGCTGCCGGGGCGCGCTGCAGCGCTGCAGCAGCTGCTGCCTCACCTCTAAGGTGCGGATGTAGGCCAGATGTTTGGGCAGCTGCTGGACGTTGTTGTCGCTGATGTCCAGGGTTCGCAGGCTGCTCAGGGAGCCGATGGCCGCCGGCAGCTCGGCCAGGCAGTTTCCTGTCAGACACACAGCGATGCGTTCAATGACCGTCTGAGTTTCTGAGTTTCTGAGATAAATGCCTCACCCTTCAGGTTGAGCGTCTGCAGCAGCTGCAGCCTGCAGACGGACTCCGGCAGAACCTTCAGACGGTTCTTCTCCACATTCAGGATCTGCAGGGAGGAAGACTGAGAGATGAGGAAGAGGAGGAGGAGGAGGAGGAGGAGGAAGAGGGGGGAGAGGAGGAGGAAGGTACCTGCAGTTTGGTCAGGGTCCCGATCTCGTCTGGCAGAGCGCTCAGCTTGTTCTCATGCAGATCCAAAACCTGGAGAGACAAAAACTGATCAATAATCAATAATCAGAGCAGCAGCAGGTCAGAGACGGGCTGATACCTTTAAGGTTGCTAGGCAATCAATGTCACATCCTTTAGGCAGCAGAAACTTCAGCTCATTGGTGTGGAGGATCAGCACCTGAGGAAGGAAAACGGCCAGAACCTCAGAACCAGAACCAGAACCAGAACCAGAGCCTCTGTGGATCTTACCTTCTTCTGTTGGACCTTGCAGATGGAGAAGACTTTGGACGGGAGCTGCAGCAAAACAAAACATCGACTGACGAGACGAAGGTGGAGAAGATTCTGCTGATTCAGACCAACAGAACCTAACAGAACCTAACAGAACCTAACAGAACCTAACAGAACCTAACAGAACCGTCTGGCAGTATGAAGAAGGAAGAACAAAATGTCTGACCTCCATCAGAACCATCTCTAAGGTTCTGGATCGGCAGAACCTTAGAGAACCTTGTGTTTCTGCAGCATCTTTATTCATTTTCTATTTGTTTTCTGTGTTTTTTCTCTTGAATTATGTTTCTAATATTCTAGATTTCCTCCAATCTTCCCATCAGAGCTTCGCGGTTCTGGACCGCAGCGATCCGTTGGGTTTGGAGAAACAGAACCAAACTGGTTTGCTGGGTTGATTTACCAGCAGCTGACTGGGATTTCTGTTTCACTTCCTGGTTTCTGGGCTCAGCCACAGGGTCAGCTGACTGGCTGGATCAACTGTCAGGGTCAAAGGTCACCAACAACTGAACCAAGAGCTTCAGAGACCAGCAGAGGAAGCTGGGATCAAACCCACAACTTCCAGTTTGTAGCTGTAGCTGTGAGGAGCTGTTAGCTCATCAAGTTAGCAGCTAGCGGCTAGTAGCTAGCGGCTCCTCACCTCTGCTAGCTCATCAAGCTAACAGCTAGTGGCTAGTAGCTAGCGGCTCCTCACCTCTGCTAGCTCGCAGGCTGAGATGTCCAGGATGTCGTCGGCTCCTTCCTGGTTGGACTGCAGGTCAGGACAGAAACCATCAGATTTAGTCCATCATGAAACCAGCAGGTTCTGCTCTGTTCTGGTCCAAACGGACCTGGACCGGCCCGGTTCTCACCCAGTACAGCTGATGCTCCAGCCTCTTCTTGGAGTCTTCGCTGGGCTTCCTCCTCCTGGAGAACAGAGGCATCCTGACGCCCGTCCCGTCCAGAACCGCCCCACTGCAGCTGCTGGTCCCACGGGACCGACGGACCGGCTGGAACCCGACCAAACAGGAACCAGTTTAACCAGAACTTCCCTCACTGGAAGCCTGTATGAATATTTTTGGCCCTGTGGGTTAGAAATGCACCAATCAAATCAGAACCGGTTTCTGGGTTTCTTTGAGGTCCGATCTGCTGATTCAGATTAAGAACCAGAGGAAGTTCGAATGCACCGATATCTGATATTTATTGATATTATTTATTTTACATACATATGCCTGAACTTTTAATGCCATCCCATAATCCTTTGCTGCCTCACCATCACATGACCAACACGCTCCTGAAATACTAACAAGATAGAAATAACGTCATTTTACTTATTAAAACAATACAATATATTAAAAAATGACTGATATCGGACCGATACCGATGTTGATGCCGATATATCGTCGACAGAAACAAACTGAAAACAAAGCAGTTGCTGCTTTATCTCCTACTACATCAAACGTCTCTGGGATTTGATGTTTGGGAAATAATGAAAGATTTCTGATTCAGAGTTTAAATTAACAGATTAACCTGAACTGGATTTATTTATTAACCTTATATGAATTTAATCTGATCAATGTGGGATTGGTTTCAGCCCAGAATGATGAGAGGCTCCTGGAGGAAGTCGGGTCGTAAACAGGATGGATGTTATGGATGAGGTAATCTGATTACATGTTGATGCCTGAGAGTGTGTGTGTGTGTGTGTGTGTGTGTGTGTGTGTGTGTGTGTGTGTCGGGGAGACGGACTCATCATTTCCCATCAACAAAAATCCCACAAATCAATTCAGGCTAAAACTATGAATACTGAGAATAGATGCTTAAAAAGCTGTTATTTTATTTTTATACTGTTTGATGTTTTTGCAGATTTATCTATTTATGTTGTTACTATAATCTCATTTTTTAATAAAATATTGGTTTAACTGTGGTTCTGTACTGGTTCTGGTTCCCATAAAGACCCAATAAACGGATAAACGTCCCATCAGAACCTGACAGAAACAAACAGGAGGAGGAGGATGATGCTAACCTTCATCATTACGGTAAACACCGATGCTAACAGAGCTAGCATGCCAGAAATCCCTGAAAGCATCACAAACACGACATGTAGCTGATACTTAGATATAATAAATATATTTTATACTCACAGGCTCAGCCTCGGCGTTGACTTGTTTCCGGTTCCACTTATTTAAAGGTTGAATACCTTAATTTAAAAGGTCTTCCGATATTTGCTAACTATTAACTGGTTAATGCCGCTCTCATAAGGACATAAATTTCTCTAAAGTTATATCTCAGTCCTGTCAGATAGTAAAGCTAATTATTAAAGCGACTTTTCTACTCTAAAACCCGACAGGCTGAGTCTCCCTCACACTGTGAAACCAGCTGAATTCACTACGGCAACACCGTCCACTGAAAAACTGTCTGCGCCTCTACGCTGGTTATTACGGCCATGTAAACGCCCTGTTCGCTAACAGAAACGATTCTTCCGCCATGTTCCGAGTGGCAACCGTGTCAAATAAATGTGAAGGGAAGAAAAACATTCACTCAAGTTAATATTTTGTAGTAAATCTCTAAAACGCACCTCTACAGACTTACCGTAATGAACTCAAACACTCTTTTATCACGACTGATATATTTAACAGCAAAAGCAAATGTTTTTGTTTGTGGTTGATGTTTAGCAATTAAAATGATTCATTACTAAATTCTACGGTAGTTACATTGTTATTACTGTTTATTAAATCGGATCTTAGCCTAAACACCAATAAGGGAAATTGTTTAATATGAAATGAGTTCTTATTTTATTGACTTAGACATTTTGTGTGTATTTGACATATCATTGACACATCCATATGTAAATGATGCACTTTTTTATTATTAATAACAGAACACTTATTACGGTTTTAATTAAACTTACAAATCTAAATATCTGGCCTTCAATGTAAGACAGGAGTTTGAAATATTTAACTCGCAGGTTCCTGGTTTGATCAATTAGCAGCTTTTTAATTTACGAGGTGTTGTTGAATGCAACATGATCGGAAACGGGGACCGTAATAAACAGTATAGAAGCGCAACCAGTTCATATTTATTTATTTATGGTTTGTTTGACGAAGTTGAAAATAAAAACAATAAGAAACACGTTTAATTAAAAATGCTTCATAATGTTCTGAGACGGACACTGTAAAGTTTCAATAGAATCGACTGAAAGGATTTTTATAAATCGTGGCAAATTACCAAATAACAACAAACAAGCAAACAAACCTTTTTGTTTTTTTGCTATTAGAAAAAAGGAGCTAAAAACTCTGGATGGATGTGAAGAAAATCTGCTTTTAATTTAAAGATATAAGTTTGACTTTATGGATCATTAAAAACAAGTCATTCAACAAGAAATTCAAAATTCCTACTTGAAATTGAACGCACCACCTTGGACACCAGTCTGTCTTCTTCTGTCACATAATTAGGATGATATGATGAACAGCGCCATCTACAGCCCGGAGCTAAGACCCGATATTTATTTAAAACATCTGTAAACATTTTAATGTTGTAAAGTTAAACTCAGATCAAAATCACGAAACATTTAAAAAAAAATGTAGAGAAGTAGTTCTGTTTAAGAGATAAATATTTTAAGAAATAAAATAAAATATATTCATGTTGTTATTTGAAAGTATTTGGGTAATTAAAAAAGATAGACACAAAATAAATAGAAAATAAATTACAGTAGAAAAAATAATGCACAAGTTAAAGATATAAAATGCAATGAACAACGAAAATAAAGATTATATGAAGTCAATTCAACAAAAATATGAATAATGGAACCTTAGAATTATATGTTTTCCTCATTTAAAACGGGAACCTGAGCAGCCTAAAATAATTTATTTATAAATA